ACAATAATTTTTTATGAGTACAATAAAAAAATGATCAAGCAATCAAATAATTCGTTTCAGTAACAAAAATATAATTGAATTAAATCAATTATACTTTTTTATTGTTAAAATTAACAATAAAAACAATTGTATACTGTATTTTTTTTTTTAGTGAATTCAATTTTGATTATTGCTCTTACTCTCAAACGCTATCCTATTTAAAAATGACTTGATAAACTTACTAGTGATCAATAATGTATAATAAAATATACCTTTATTAAAAATGAAACACGTTATAACCAACAAAAGAGATATGAAATGCCAATTCTAGAATTAAGTAAAATATTTTTTTAGATTTTAATGAAATATAAAGTAATGTTAAGTATATTACTCACCTCCATTTTTATTCTAAGTGTAATACTCTGAATAACTAATGAGAATATTTGAGTTAAATTTATGTATATATTTAAAAATTAATGATATCATCTATAATTTTTTTCATTATTTTCTCTAAAAAAAAACATTGAGTAAACAGAAGTAAATTTTAATAAAGTATATACAAGGTAATTCTGATAATTTAGCAAATTTAATAACTTCATATTTAAGTTTTTGTTTAACTATTATTTTTATGTTTAATGTTACTTTGTAACATGAAATATTTGCTGATTAAATAGTTATTTTTTTTTAAACATTGTAAAAAAAGCTGGCCTAATTGCAATTGTTAAAACACATTCTTGATTTTATTACACCAAAATAATATTTATTGTTAAACTTCAAGGTTCGTTAACATATACAAGAAAAATTGCCGAGACAATTTATTTTTATTTTTAACTTTTAGTATGTAACATAGACTTTAATTTAATATATTTTCGGAAAAATGGAGTAATTCTAGAAAATGTTCAAATGTCAAGTTGAAAAAGTATACCTTTCATGCAAAGTAGTTTTTTCGAATCCCCCTCTGTGCTCATATAAAGGGACAGGTTTTTAGAAAATAAATACACAATAAAAAGGAAATACTTAAAATACTTATTATAAAATTATTCTGACTCATCTGTTTTTCAAAATATTATGAAAAAAAGTTTTAAAAAAACACAGCACAGAGGAGTCGCGGTAAAGTGGTGACGTGGCATAATTGGGTCAAGTATGATATCTGACAGTGATTAAAATCAATATAAAAAAAAACGCTTCAATGCAAATCTTTTGATAGTGTTTAATTTTAAAAAAATGATGGATTATTCCAAAAGCTACATCATCTTCTATTTTCTTATTAATACCCTGATTAAGATAAAGTATGTCGAATGAAAAAGGGATATAAAATTATTTCTCATAAAAAAATTATATTGATCTATACATTTTTTAAAAAGTTTTTTGTAAAACTTGTCATTATTAATCCCTTTATATGGTCAGATAAAGGATAAGATTTATAAAAAAAATACCAAAAGATAGATAAAGACTTCATGTATCTAAATAAAAAAAAATTTTATTGAGCTGGCCATTTTTAAAAAAGTTATGGGAGTTTTAAGTAAAAATAACGGTAAAACAGTGGGGTCGTAGCTTAATGCGGACGAAGCATAGATGGGGCAATTATAGATGATATTTGACAGTGATTAAAATCACTATCATTAGAAACTCTTCGATGTAAATCTGTAGATAGTGTTTAATTTTAAGAGATTGGTAGATTATTTCAAAAGCAACCATAACTCTTATTCCCTTAATTTTATTCCGATTTATAATTATAATATACGAATAAATAATTTTGGTATTACAAACTATACTTGTTTATTATGTTATCCCAAGTTTAAATGCAAATGACAACTGAGCACTATAGGTTAATTTAAGTTAATGTGCAAACCATGAGGTGTATAAGTAACAAATTATAAATTAAAATTATTAAAATTATTACCAAATTAATATTAGTATCAAACTTGGTGTTGTATTTAAAATGCACTGCCAGTTCAGATAGAAAAACAAGTGTGAGTGAAGAATAAAAAAACAAACTTTCAATTTTTGCCCAGATGCAAATCTGTAGATAATGTTTAATTTAAAAATTTTAATGGATCGTTACAAAAGCTACATGATCTCCTACTTCCTTATTTATATCCTAAATACAAGTTATATGCATTACTAGTGCAAAGTATGTAATCGATAGAGGATTTCTCCACTATAAAGTTATGTGACAAATGTATCAAACAAAATTTTTTTCCATTTTCTTATTCATTTTCCCATTCTAAATTTTGATAGAATATATCTTCAACAAAAATACAATTTTTTAATCTTCAATCTTTATTTCTATTGAATTTGTACGCCATTGACCTTTGCAATGTTCACATATAATAGAACATTTAAGCCCTGTTTTTCGGCAGCCACAATTTTTACCAGCTCCAGCACCCGAATAAAGGCCGTTTTATGATAATTATCTTTATTATTAGCAGAAATTCCCGTGGCTATTGACATAATATAATTGTTGTTTGGGAATGTACAATTTAGCGTTTAGTTGGGTTTAAACAATATAGCGTCAAATCAATTACCTACTCTATCGGTTGTATGTTAATATACACTAAACTTTAATGATAATATAAATAAATAAACTCACACATACACACTGTTACGTCGCTATTTAGGGGTTTATCCTAAATGCCCGTCGACAGTATTCTAATTAAAAATTATTTAAAATAAAAAAAATTTGGAGGGACATTAGTGTCGTAGTAAGAACCTCTGGGTCTTCGATGTCCACACTCCTTAATTCACAAGCTTTTGAGCGTTGGAGGAGCTTCCTTCGTGTGGGCTCTCAATAGTCGGCTACCAAGCGGTTCCTATGAAAAGCCCGGCCCTGTCGTCGACTTCTTGAATAGTCTCGGGGCCCCAAAGAGTATTCTCCGTGTTCTCGAGGACTGTTCAGAACACTAACGCTTATTATTAAAAAAATTCAATAATTAAAAGGGGATGTTGGGGTACCGAATACAATTATAAGCAATGCATGCACAATAAATGATAAATGTTCATGAATTAAAAAATAATAATAATTTATGTTATTTATGAAAAAAAAAAAAAATAAGCTAAGTTAACCTAATGTATGTAGCCAAAACGTTGTCAAAAACTTGCATACATTTACAATAGGTGTCTTAAATTAAGTTAAGCATGCTCGATAATAGTACTAATGTATACAGTAAAATATATGCGAAACATACACAGTGACCATCTCATAAAATTCAGTGTCCATTTATTATATATAAAAAAAAAGAAGAAATACACACAATAGGGTATTTTGATTTAGGCTGACTTGCGCCTTAGTTGCGGGACGATTATATTATATAAATTATCCTATAATAAGGGTAGCCGTAATAACGGCTGTTTAAAAGACCACGATTTTTGCTGCTGTAACAACTTAGTTAACTTGTATATATTAAATGTGCATGTCGAATTGATGTTATAAAGAAATAATTTATTTAAAAATATTAGCTGGCTCGCTCTATTAGTACCAATTGTAATTATAAGTAATGGCTATTCAATAAGGTCATAATATGTTAACAAAAGGATTTATTGTTGTAAACATATGAATAGAGTCCGTTATTCAAATTTGTCACGTAAGATTATAGCTAAGATTATAGGGGATTATGTGGGGATGTGGCGACCGTTGACTGTATAGTGTTGTTCATTTTATGTTTGACCTATTTGGACTGAAGATGCCTGGAATGTTATATTGGAAATCATGTTTGGTAAGTACCACAATAAAATAATTTTTTAAATTTAATAATAATAACCAAGGGTTTTATTTGCAACAAATATTCTTTCAAGTCCAATTTTATAAAATTCGACACTATTTATTTTTCAAAATAGTTTATTTAGAAGTAAATTTTCTTAAACCTCGTGTATCGTGCATTTTATATCACCTTATAGTATCGAATAAAAGTAATTTCATAATATATAATAAATAAAGGGAAGTCGGGCTAAGCCGATCGAAATAATAAATGTTATGTTATAACATTGTTTGTAAATTAGAATAAAATTATGCCATTATAAAAATATGTCGATCTAGTCGAACGGAATAATAATAATAAGCCATAAGTATCAAAGAAAATAGTTAATTAAAATTAACATTATAAGTAAGCCATAATTTTCAAATAAAATAATTCAAATATGCCATAACGTAATTTATCGGACTGGCCGAAAATAATTATAAAATATATATATGCCACAAATAAAATTAATTATCGGACTTGCCGAGAATAATAATAAAATATATGCCAAAATCAAATTATCGGATTTACCGAAAATAATAGTAATATAAATATGCCACAAAATCGGTTATACCGAATAAAATAATATATAATAATGTTCTAATGAACTAAGTCGGACTTTGCCGAATTTAAGTAAAAAATATGCCACAAAATAATAAATCAATCGGACTTGCCGTATATAAATAATAGTATACATTTAAGTATATAAGTATGCCACAAAATAATAAATAAATCGGACTTGCCGAATATAAATAAACATATGCCACAATAAAATAAATAAATCGGACCTGCCGAATATAAATAAATATATGCCACAATATAATAAATCGGACTTGCCGAATATAATTATAAAATATAATAAACAAACAGACAATGCTGTAATGTGGCTGGGGCCCCAAAATAATAATATAATAATAATAATATAACAATACTATATATTTCAATAGTAATAGTAATAAGGACTTATTTTTTCTAGCTAGAAATTACTCACCCAATGGTCGACAACAAAGGGCGGATAGAACATAAAATTGCACGAATCGTGATAATTTGATGTCTCGGTGATCAAGTCGCTACATACGAAATTATACGAAGATGTTGAAGTCGTGGTTTGGATGTTCTATTAAAAGGGACTGTGGCTCAAAATAAAATGACAAAAGTCATGGTAATGGTCGTGACATTGACCGTGGCTGTGGCGTGGCAGTGGCGTTAGTGATGACTGGCTATGAATGGCTATAAAAAAATGGCGAGATGGCAAAATGGCAATTAGGTGAATGCAACGTATACACTATAGAGGTTAATAATTGACCTAGTTATTCGATTACTTGATTATCTGACTCAAGGATAAACAAGGGAAATTAGGTTTTAAAATATTGAACTAAATAGTTATTAGGAGTAAGTCTACAATAATCGAATTTTATTCAAAATAATTGAAAACTACATATATTATAAAATATATATTTTATAAAACTATATTTTACAGGTAGAATGATCGAGATGTAGATCGTAATTCAAAGTAGAGAGGTCCTGTGAAAGCGAAGAAGTCTTCGATAGAATTATTGATTAAGATGACCCGTCGAATGAACCTCGAAGAATAACTTCATTTGAATGAATAATTAAAAGATTTTAATTTAAGTAGTTTAAGCAATTTTTAGGATATAAGATTATATATAAGTAATTAGTATATAAGAGTAACACGATAGTTCATACTAATCCTTGTATCCGACAGGGGGTAATTTTAAAATTGGAGAGTGTCTAGATTTTTTAAATGTAACCTAGGGAATTAATCAGATTTATTGAATATTCTCTACAGTCGTCACTGGGGTAAAGAATTATTGTCAATAGCAATAACAAAAAAAAAATTTTCTAGAGTCATAATTATTATTAAGTGGTAGGTAAGCGTATTTAATATAAATAGTGTACTTTAATATAGCATTTTACCCTTAAACCATCTTGGATTAAACAAATTCGAACATATTAGAACAAAAATAAATTATAATCAAATTTTTAAGAATTTTTAAGAGTTGAAACAGCACAATATAATAATATTCGTTGGGTCTTAAGAAGCGAAGAGCACCGTTGTCGCAATAAGATCAATTTTTCGGGTGCGTTATTACGCTGACCTTGCCTATAATTTATGTCAGCAAAAATAAAAAAAAAGTAACAATATCGACAATGATTATTATACACCTTATAATTCTTATATTTTCGGAAAATTCTTAAATTGTAATTATATTGTCATCTCATTGCTATACATATTTTACTATTTTAGTGCTAGCCCCGGGCCGAGATTTGAATGGATTTTATATTCTAGAAACGAAAGGTTTTAACTGGTCTACGTGAACAGGCGACTCGACCAAAATATTGTTTTTTGGCAGATTTATCAAAAAACTATATGGACCTATTTTCTTTAAAATAACATAAGGGCCTTCATACCTATCTGAAAATTTATTACCCTTTACCGGAACTTTAACTAAGACTTTGTCTCCCGTTTTAAACGATTGAAAATTATTCGATGATAATAGTTTTTGTTTAGTTTGTTCGGATTGTTTCTCTAATAATTGGGGTAATGATTTTCTAATATGTTTGATTTTATTAATTTCATCGATAACGTTCCCATCGGAAGGGGGAATTAGTGCAATATCAAACATGCTTTTAGGATTATAGCCGTGAACTAAATAAAATGGCGTATAATTTGTAACCGAATGTATTGAAGTATTATAGGCGTATACAACGTATGGTAAATAATCTACCCACTTATTGTTATCCTGAACGTAATGTGATATCATGTCTATAACTGTTTGATTTTGCCTCTCCACCTGACCTTGTGAAGTAGGCTTATACGGAATTCCGAATTTTTTGTCTACCCCAAAAGCGTCCATTAGGTCTAAAACTGTCTTTGACGTAAAATGAGTTCCATTATCTGACCTAATTATCCTAGCTGGACCAAATCTTAAGAATAAGTCTAAAAGAAATTTGTTGGTACTACGCGCATTGGCATTTGTAAATGGTTGAGCTACGCAAAATTTTGATAAACGATCAGTAGCTACTAAAATATACTTATAAGATTTCGACTTTGGAAGGGGCCCAACATAGTCAATAATTATTTCACTCATAAGATAATAAGAAAAGATATAAAGTCATATCTTTTCTCATTTTTGGCCAGTAATATTTACTCCTAATTTTGTTTAGTGTTTTTGAAAAACTGATATGCCCGCTTACTAAACTATCATGATTATCAATTATTACCTGTTTAATAAATTTTGAAGGTAAAGCAAGTGCGTATACAGGGATTTGTCTATTTTCGTTTTGTAATACAATATATCATTATCTTTTATTTCATAATTGTTGGCCTTATTTAAATAAAACGAATTTGATGAGATAGGGTTTTTAATAGCTCCTATGATGTTATTCAAGTACGCATCGTTTGCTTGTTCTACAGCAATATTAATAGGTTGAACAAGATTTATTTTAAAAATATCATTTTTAATATTCAAATTTAAAATATTAATTAGTTCACTTGAACTGGGATAACGCGATAGATGATCCGCGGCCCTATTCATAAAACTTGTCAAGTTTTTATGATCAGTCCAAACCTCAATTTTCCTACCGTGAACACATTGTCTATAGTGAGTAAACGCGAAATGAATAGCTCAAACCTCGAGTTCCATTGCGGAATAATTGGACTCGGCGGGCGTTAGCTTTTTAGACGCGTAAGAGATTGGATGAATTTCGTTATTATCGTCACGTTGTTGAAGTATAACACCTAGACCTAATTTACTAGCATCTGTTACTAGTATAGTTTCCAAATTTACGTTAAAATGCGCGAGGAGTTGTAATAAACAAAAAGAGAAACGAGTGAGTGTAGGTATGTAGTCTTGTAATAAATAAAATGGCTATAATAAGGTGGCAAAGGAATGTTGTTAAATGTGTTTTGGGTTCGGGGTGTGAAAGGGAAGAAATGTAAAGAAATGTAACACAGGTGGCCAACAAGGAAATAATAATCGTAGCGGGCGTAGTGTAAAAAGGATGGGTACCAATGGAAAGTTAAAGTATCTATAGATACCCGGTAGTGACTACAATAAAATAAAATAGAAAGGGATCTCGGGGTATGTATGCTTGTGTAAAAACGTCTAATGTATGAATAAGATGGAATTACAAAGAAGGGTCACTACCTAGCTCCTGCACAGAAACGCGCACACAAATTCCCGGCGATTCACAAATATCGTGCCTTTTATAAAAATATTTCAGTTTATTCTTAATGACTTATCCTATTCTAATTGTTTATTACTAAAAAATTCTTCAGTAAAGGATCTATTATAGACTTATTATGTAAACAAATGTTCCACTTACCTCTGATTATCCTGATATTCTCTTGAGATGAACGATGTTGTTGATGTAACAATTATCGATGTATACGTTCACGCATTAATGTACGCAATTATATTTATACGGTTTATATTATTATTAACTCGCGTGTAACTACTTTTCTAGTACAATTCTATATTAAATCTACCCAAGGTGAAATCTAAGTTTGTTATAACTCTGTCTTTTTGCAAAAACCTTTTGTATATTTATGTAGTATAGTTCTTAACCTTGTATATGATGTTTTACGTTAATATATTTATTATTTAATAATTTATAAAGCAAATGAATAACTTCTAAGCAACATAACTGTCCTGTGCAACAAAACTATTTCCAAGTGGCCTACGTCTTTTCAGTCGTCCAAATGGTGATCTAGGGTAGATGCGAGCTCAATTTCAGTTCTTTGCACAATAGATTATACTAGTGTCCTACACTCCGATCACCGGCACTGTGGCATAGATCAGACTAGCTGGTCGATAAGTGGAGAGACACTTTTAGTTGTTTAGTATGATGTTAGTTATAAATATATATTAGTAAAATATTAGTTTTTAGTATAATATTTCGACTCTGATTTATTTGTATTTCGTAGCTGGATGTACCAACGCGAGATCTCAAATAATATCTTTGTCTTTATGCAAAGAACCTTATGATATGTGGCCTACTTCTTTTCAATCACCTGTAGGACGACCTAGGTTAGATGCGACTGTACTATAGATTTATGCACGATAAGTTATGTTAGTGTCCTACACTCCGATTGCCCGCACCGTGGCAGAGATCAGACTAGCTAGTCGATAAGTGGAGAGACACTATGAATAAATCTTATGGTTAACTAAAATTCTAATTATGATATTATTGTACTATTACCCTGTCCAGCCAGGTTGTGGCCCTTCAATAAGTAGTAAATACAATTCAATCAAATTAATTACCTTAGAATATCTAATGTATACTACAAAATAATATTAATAATTTATGCGTTGTAAATTATATAAGTGTCCTACACTCCGATTGCCGGCACTGTGGCATAGATCAGACTAGCTGGTCGATAAGTGGAGAGACACTTTGAATAAATCTTATGATTAACTAAAATTCTAATTATGATATTATTGTACTATTACCCTGTCCAGCCAGGTTATGGCCCTTCAATAAGTAATAAGTACAATTCAGTCAAATTAATTACCTTAGAATATGCTTATATATATATAGGAATATAAATGTAAATAAAAGAAATAAATAAATACCAATATTTTATATGTATTAGAATATTTATGTCACCAAAAGTATTCGACCGAAAATAAGATGTATAATATTTTTCAGTAATTACGAAAGAGGGTAAAAAATTATGTAGATTTCATATAGAATTGTAACTAAGAATAAGACATAAACTCACGCACATTCGCTTTCTGTATCTTGGTTGAGTATTCCAGAGAGCCGTAGAGATGTATAGATAGAATTGCAAGGCGTCCCAGTATTCGCTAGAGGGTTGTTCAGAAATCGTATTACTGCGAAACAAACCACACTAAGGGAAGCGAAGCCGCAGAGAAACCACCCGAATTTGGGGGAAAATGGCCTTTTTATAGCCTGCAAAACTGATTTAGCGATCTCTGGTGAGATTCTTGAAATATTTTTTGCTGTATTTGATTGGTTAATGTGATAGAATCTTTTACGTGGGCATTTTATGGAATGCGTAAGAGGGAGGTTAAATCTTGTGTAAGGGTATTATTTTATTACTCATCTTATCCACGGGGAAACACTGATTTGGTGATGTGTTTTATTAAATATAAGTATTAATTATTACATGCATTAAAATGTGATACTACNCTAGACCTAATTTACTAGCATCTGTTACTAGTATAGTTTCCAAATTTACGTTAAAATGCGCGAGGAGTGGAGGTGTCGTAAGTTTAGACTTTAGCTCTTTAAATGCTGTTTCATGTTCAGTTAACCATTTAATTTTTTCATTTTTTGTTTTAAATTTACCCTTAGTGAGATCTGTAAGAGGTTTTGCCAGTTTACTAAAGTTAGGAATAAATTTTCTGAAATAATTGGCAAGTCCTAAAAAACTACGAAGTTGTTTAATAGTGTTAGGGGAAGGGAATTTTTTTACCGATTCAATGCCCTCATCGGTTGGTCTAATGCCTTTCGAATTTTTGATATTACCGAGTACTTGTATTTCCTCGTATCCGAATTTACATTTTGATGGCTTCAATTTTAGATTATACTGTCTAAATCTTTGTAATGTTATATCTAATGAATATAAATATTGATCGAAAGATTTTCCAAAAACTGTGCAATCATCTAAGTAGCAAATATTATTTTTATAAGTAAGACCTCCCATAATTTTGCACATAGCGGCCTGATATATTGCTGGAGCATTATTAAGTCCCATTGGAAGTCTTTTGAATTGAAAATGTCCCGTATCAGTAGAAAAAGCTGTATATTGTCGAGAATTTTTAGATAGTTTGAATTGATAAAAACCACTGGACGCGTCTAATAATGAAAAATAGCGGTTACCAGCTAAGCAGTCATATATATTTTGAATTATGGGAAAACTTTGTTTTAATAAAATCGAATTTAATTTTCTATAATCTAAAACCATGCGATACTCCTTAGGGGTGGCCCCTTTTTTGTCACCCTGTGGGAGATTTTTACCTACTAAAAATACCGGATTACTATATGGACTATTTGACGGTTCTATTATGCCGGCCTTTAATAACTCGTTAGTTTGTTTTTCTACCTCGGCCCGTTCTTTAACGCTTAACTTGAAATTCGGTAAATTTATTATTTGATCGCGATTTAATTTTAATTCAATATCTGGTAATTTTACCTCGCCCAAGTCGAATTTAGTCTTTGAAAAAATTTCATTATAATTATTCAACAACGTTTCAAGTTTTTGTTTTTTATCGTGAGATAAAGACGGGTTAATATCGAATTCTACCTTTTGTGAAACGTCTGCTAGAGAAGATGTTGTTTCTTTTTCCGCGAAACATGTTTCGTTAACCTGAGATTCGAAGTGTACGTCTGGTGTTGACGCATCATTTTGTTTGAAGTGTTCGGTAAAATCATAATTTTTTTGTCTGGAGTTTAGAATTTTACGCCTGTCGGCGACTGAAATATTGTCATTAATATGCACAATTGTTTTAATATTAAAATTAACACTAGGATTTTTTACGTATTCTAATGGAGACCAATGACAGTGGGAAAATAAAACAAACACGTTATCTCGATCGAATTCTGTGAATGCGATAACATTTACGTCCGAACAATTGTTATCTTGGGAAAGTACAATTAAATTTTTATTGTAATATGACGCGACGGCTGCTAGATCTTCTGCCTCAAGCCAGACAGGCTGACTT